CCAAAAAACAATCAGTACCATTATCTATCTTATTAACTTCTTAACAGGAACACTCCAAACCAAAAATCTTTTCAATAACTTTCAACCAACTCAACAAGATCTCAAACTTTTTAACGAAATCCAAAATAAATCTCTCGAACTTATCTATCACCACATCTAGATCCCAAGAAACAAAGATATTATAGCAGAAGAAAACTTCCTCGACATCTCACAAAACATCAAATTCAAACGAACCAACTGTAATAAACTAAACAAAAATCCAACCAACCCCAACAAAATACAAAAAAATATCTCAACAAACAACAACAAACAAACCCATCAACACAAACTAATCAATATAATACTTAATCTTTTCTCGGAAAACCTATCCATGTCCTTTCAGGATAGAATAAATTATTAAGGAGGCATTAGCCCTCCAAGATTAAATAGTTCCTTTCCTTTTCCCTGCTCAAGGGTTTTTTATTGGAAATATATTTAATCAGGTGGTAGGCTGACATGTATAGCAATGTATCTTACATCTTAATATTAATTATATAACAATTATTATTTTACTCTATTAATAAAGATCGTGAGAAATGCCTCACTTAACATTAAAAAAAAAAAATTATGAAGTAGATAAACTTCAAAAAGAAACTGAAGAAAATATAAATCTGATTGAAATAAAACATAATAGAGAAATTACACTTCTTAGAGAGGGTATTATTAGTGAAGTTGAAATCAGATTATTCAATCAACAACAAACTATAAAAGAGCAGGTAGAAATTATTCGAAATCAGCAGGATTACGTTAATGAGATAAACCAAAAAAATGAATACCTACAGAATCAAGTTGACGAATATCGGTCTGAATGCCATCGATTAACAGAATCTCTTGCAGGTATTACAGAAAATTTTGAAGATTCCGGTCTTGAATATATAACATTGGAAGATGAAAATCTTGAATTAAAAAATCGCTTACGCATATTGGGTTTAACATATATAGGTGCAAGATGTAGAGGTTTACATCGATTTAATAGAATAAATCTAAAATATATTAATCAAAGAAATAGAACGCATCAAGCAGAACAAGCATTAATACTTTGTCAAAATCATGGTAATTTTTTAAGATCTCGAGAATTATATGGACGCATAACTATTCGAGCTCAAAAAAGACGTAACATCATATTATTAACAGAAAAATTTGCATATCGACAATTAATTTTGAATTTAAGAAGACAAATTATATTATTACAGAATAATTCCCTTCCAAATCCATTAATAGCAAACATGGCAACAATACAAGAAGTTATGGCAGTAGTAATGCCACTAATTGCACCAGTCCCACAATATATTGGTCAAGAACCTCCAGAAGATTATGTTAACAAAATTATACAGTTATATAATTGTGGTACTACTATAGGGGCTGTAGCTGGGTTTAATGATGCTGTAAAAATGCAAATATTAGCATCAAAAATGGGAGGAAAATATATACCACCAAATCCTTTCAATAATCGAGCAGGAAATATAGTTAATACACCAGCATTATTTTTAGCATGGCTTAATGAAGAATATCAAAGACACAATATCAGTACTCAGCAAATAGCAACTCAAAGATTAACCCAAGAAAAATTTACACCATATGATACTCCAGAATCTTATGAAACTAGAATTAAACCGCTTTTATTAGGAGTACCAAATAATGATGCATATGTGTTAGGAGTACTTAAAAATCAATTACCAACAGAGCTTTTTAATAGAATGGCAATGGTAGCTCCAGCCAATATTCCTGCATTCTTTACAGCTCTTAAAAATATGTGGCTTGAAAGAAAACCCGATACATTTACATATGGAGGAGGTTCTATTTATACCAATGGACGGAGTCCAGACTTTTTGAGTCACGGAATTACTCAACCTATTTTCCAATCTGCATCTCAACAACCACAACAAATTATTCAAAACTCTTTACAACCGATAGTACAAAATAATCCGACTTCTATATCTTCACAACAAATTGATTCAACACATAACAATCCACTTCCACTTCATCAATATAAATCCCATCCTCCTGGAACATATCAAAATATACAAAATGAAAATATGGGTAAATTAATACAATGGCTTACTGGAGAAACTTCAGAATTATATTTCTCTTCTTCACCTGATTTACCCCCAAAACCAAAAAATTTACAAAATCGACCCAAATCATAAAAAGCCAAAATATATGAAGAAATAATTGATAATGCCAAAATAGGACTTATTGAAGAATATAATAGACCATATGATCCTATGGAAATAGATCTGGCTATAGTTAATTGTACGAGAAAACTTGGTGGAAATACTTCTGTTAATACTTCTCGAATTGTTAGAAAAAAGAAAGCACCTGTCAAAAAAAGAGTTATTAAAAAGATTATTAAACCCAAGAAAAAACATATAAACTTGGTTACCTATAAAGAACCTATAGAAGAGGAAGATTCTAATAATGATGAAGAGGAAGTTTATGAGGAGATAGTTTATGAAAATAATGAAGATAATGAAGAGGAAGATGTAGAATATGTGGAAGTTGATAATAATCCTACCGTAATTACAAATCTTGTAAAAAAAAAATAACTAAAAAACCGGTTAGTAAGACAATAATCAAAAATAAAATAATTACCCCTACTGATGTATCTGAGATTTGTAGAAAAATTATTATAGAAGAGCTTAATGATATTTATAAAAAATTTGAAGCTCTTATAACACAGTCTTCACATAATATGGATTTAGATGAGCCAATGGATATTAATTTGGTTCGTCGTCTTTCTAATGATATTACAACTGCTGAATGTCAAATTAATAATATTTCTATTCCTAAAGCGGTTTTAGATGGTGGTGCATAAAATACTTTTGGAAGTAAAAAATTAGCAAGGCAGCTTGGATTAAAAATTGATACAAGTAAACCTCCATCTCTTAAAGGTATTGCTACAGATGCTAAATCATATAAATAGCGTTATAATGTTTCTATTACTTTTTCAAATAAAGCATTATCTCGAGATACAGATTTTACAATGGTACATGATATAATAATTGTAGATTATGATGAATATGCTTTGATTATTGGTACAAATTGGCTTGATTTTGCTGAAAATAAAGTAGATTGGGGAAAATATGAATTTAAAGTTGGTAATACATTTGTTCCTATTTTAGTTCATAGGTTATCTATTGAGAATGAATCAAAAAAAAAATAGTTAATATATCACAAGTTCATAAATTGCAAAGTAATGATTCTTTGAATCATATTTCTCTTTGGGAAGAATATGAAAATCAATTTCTTTTAGACATGTCCAAATATATTATACCATCTTTTTCTTCTAATGAATGAATAAGATCATATATAGTTCCTTCTCAAATATATTTTTTTAGTATAAACGTAAATAAATCTATACCTTTTTTAGTCATATCTATTTTAACCCGCTCACATCTAGTATCATATTCTTGCTTAATAGATTTCAACTGTTCTCGAGTAGATTTAATAAATTTATGATGTATTATATCTGTAGCTTGTTTGACTCGGATATTAATCTCTTCCTCAATATCTTTTGTAGAAACTTCACTTTGTATATTTTGAATAGGATTTTTTTTTAAATGCGAGTAAGCTTTATTCTAATTTTTATTAATTTGTTATGAATGATATACATTGTATAATTCTATTCACACATAAATTATTAGAATTAGAATTCACTCACAAGTATACTATCCGGGTGTAGCCTACCTATAAGAACTATTTTAAGCACACTGATTTTCTACATCTTCCAGCCTCAAATTTGTAAACCTTCTATTAAGTCTTTTAACACCAACTGAATTAACCATTGAAGTACTGTGTCTCAAATTCCCGGTCCTCTTCCTTTGGATCAACAATCTTAGCGATTGATGCAAGGGGATTCATATTTGGGAAATGGGTGGAACCCTATGGCCAGTAGTGTACCTTTAAACCTTCTTGGGGTTGACGATCCAATCCTTTGTAGATAATGCCAGGCTTCAAGCATAGGCTGCTTATTTAAGAAGGTGCAAATCCTCCAAAGTCAGGCTAAGTCTTAAGGGGAGTCTTTCATTCTGGTGATCGTTACCAACTAAATACTTTCACTACAGGTAAGAATGGTGGGTGTTACTGGCGAGTGCGTAACTTGTGCTGCAGGGGAGTTATGCTGAAAGTCTTGCTTAAAAATTTCCAGTTTTGTGGCCCTCCATAATTTCTTTTATAGTCTCGTGGACTATAGGAAGGGGAAATGATCTGTTATGAAACTGGGAATTACACCAAACTTGACAATGATCATCGTAACGCCAACCAGACGATTATTACACCGCAACACCTTTTCTAGAAATCACAATCTCAATGCCTGTTGGATCAGCATGTGAAACGGCTTCGCATGAGAAACAGCATATAACAGGTTATGGTGCCAGATACCATATATGTTCTATTCAATCGCCTTCACCTGGGATTGAACTGGTATCTTGTGATTTGATCTGTGGAGAGTTAACCACTACACTATAGACCCACAGGTCTATATTTTGAATAGGATTATATCTAAGTTATTTATTTTTTTGATATTGATTAACTTTATGCTTTAAAAATAACTCAATAATAGGATTAATACTACTTGCCTCATTTTCAGTCAGTGGATTTTTTTTCGACTGGTAAGACGAATCCATCTAGCTTTTATTAATGATGGAGGTAATTGAGTAAGAAGTTTTAAATAACTTTTATGAAAAGTCATATAATTTTATAAATATATTCTTTTATGAAAAAATATTTAATATATTGTATTGTATTATTACATTAATATTTTATAAAATTATATAAAAATCCGAATAAAAAAAATTAATACAAATTTAAAAATGCAGAATTAAATATATTGTTATAATAAAACATCACGATAAGAATTTTATCTTGCGAAATTAACAAAGTACCAGTTAAAACTATACTAGATACCGTCAGCAATCGTAATCTTATAGGCAGGAGTTTAGTAGATGTACTAGGCTTAGAGAATGATAGTAGATGTACTAGACTTAGAGAATGATACTTCCTATAAAGAAGAGACAAAACTATTAATTCATTTTCCATCTGAAAAATTATCAAATAATTTAGATACAACAGTATCCTCACATTGTGTAACTATAGAAGATAGCATAACAATACTAGGAAAAATCCATAAAATAAATCTTTCTTTCCGATCCAAAGACAATAAATGGAAACAGATTGAGGTTAACAATATTTCAGTTCCTAATAAACCTGAATTTGCACATATATTGTTATTAGGTTTACTATTGATTCAGGCAAATATATCAGAAATAAATTTCTCCAATCATATTCTTATACTGCTTGATGGAACTGATGTATTATTGGATATTTCATGAGAGTTTCCACCACCGAAACAAATATCCATACCAGTAAAAGAATATTATAAGATGGTGAAATATTATATAATAGCATTGGGTATAAATAATAACGAAATATATCTTAAGAAATACTTTCTCTGTGAGTTGTCTCATAATAACCGGTTAGAAGCCAGAAGATATGAAACGGACCTGTCATTAGATAAGCTGGTTGCAAAGTTAAGTGCAATTAAGAATAACAGAAAAATAAATGATATTTGCTTCTAAAAATTAATTAGAATTATATCTCAATATTTTATGCTATATGTTCTTCGACTAAAAATTCTATCTCTGGTTTAAGTTTTACATTCATAGCTCTTTTTTCTGCATCTATATGAGGAATATTTCTATTAATCATATCTTTATATGCATTAATTCTCCAATGACCATATGGCAAGCTCGATATTTTATCAGATAATATTCATTTTTATTGTTAATAGGAGCTGTCGCTTTTTTATCTGATTCCACTAAGGATAGTACATAATTTTTTGATCGAATACCTACATTTTTTGTATAGAATACTTTATCATCAAAGAGACAATCATAATATACTTGTGTTATAGGATCAAATACTTCATTTTTATCTATTGGACTATCTAATAATAAACTGGCTAATGTTGGTATATATATTTCAAAGCCATATTATTCATACATTTCTTACTAACTCCTTTATACTTTAATTTTGTAGTTTTATCACCTAGCACATAATGATAAAGTTTTGAGCGGATATGATATAATTTTGTAATTATATTATCAGGACACTCATCCTTGTATTTACCAATAGTCTGGTCTCCATTAAAATTAAAGATATCAGGTCTTTCATCCATATTCTTATAAATATCTTCAGTTTCAATTTCAATTAAAAAAAAATTGGTATCCATATATTCAAGTTTAGTATTGTTACCATATCTTTCTTTTATATATTCATACCAGAATTGATACATATGAAGTTTACTAAGACCTAATATTGATACTTCAACAAGAATAGGTTTGTTGAGAGTTATACTTGCTTTTCCCATATGCACTCCTATAAGTGTTGGACCAAGTTGTCTGACATATTTAAAAGATGGTTTATGAATCTTTTTTATAAATGCTTTTTCATCTTGATTATCAGTCATTTTCATAATTTTGACATCTTGATATTTGCGAACATTTTCCATAGTTTTGTCAAATATTGCATTATTTATAAGTTTGAAGAAATTACTTAGAAATGTATTTCCAGTTTCTTTTGCTTTATTCCGTTTTTCAGTATTAAATACTATATAAGGAGCAAGCCAATTGGTTTGATCAAATGATAAAATCTCTGTAATTTTATCTATTATCATACCTAATTTTACATAGTATTGAAGTTCTAGATAATGAATAACATAATCTTTTTGTGGTCTAAGATGTGGAACTAATTTTTTGGTTTTAATAAAGTGATCATTATCTATAAGATCTGTATTATAGAGGCTTAACCTACTTTTTTCAACTGCAATATTTTTTACAGCAGGTGATAAATCACTAAGATAATCATGTGTTTTTAATCGAAAATGAGTATTAACTTTTATAAAACAACCATGTCTTGAATCCAGTCTAATTTTGAAAATTTTATTAAGCCATTCTTTTTGATATTCTTTATTATTTTTAAAATGCGCTTCTTTTTCTTCCCATATAAAATTTCCAATAGGCAAATATTAATTCATTGAATGTCTATAAAGATTTGTAGCGTCAAAATATAAAATCCATTTTGTAGGTTTAGAAGGATTAAAATCATTACCTATCTTGGAATTATTAGCTTCAAAATATCAATAACATGCTATAGATATATCACCATGTTTAGCTTTTTCCGCAAAATCATGCATAGCCATATCTGTAAATAATTCAATTTTAATTTTAGTTATCTTAAGCATTGCATTTCAAGATAAAGCTGGTGCTGATATATAATAACTAGGATCAAGTTTATAATATTGTATACTAGTTTTTTGAAAATTTGTCCAAACATCAGCCAAACTAAGTACATATGTTTTAATATAAAGATTATGATAATCACCAAAATTTCTACAATTAAATTCATTCCATACTTTTTGAGCATATTTATAATCATTTTGAGAAATTTTTCCATTAATATATGTATTAAATTCATAAATTGGTGAAAGTTTTGTTTCTAAAAATCTATCTTGTGAATCAATATATTCATAGGAATAAACTCCTTTACAATATACTAATACAATTTGTTCATTTGTAAAACCTTGATCTATAAAATGCTTAGTTATTATCGGATAATTATCACCTAAATTTTTTGTAAGAGTTGATAAATCACTTTTCATAAATTGATAACTATCAATATATTTAAACTGCCCTACTTTCATTGATTTATAACTTTCAAATGTTTCTGCAATAATTCTAATTTGGCTGGCATTAACAGATCTTCCAATAGAAAAAAAAAAACTCTCTCCCCAAAAATTTGTATCACTTAAAAATTTCCTTTTTTAGTAACTGACAAAATTCAAAGGAGAAGCAAAACAACAATCGCTCCTGGGAGCTCCTCTCCCAAGGGCAAACCTCCAAACTCCCCTCATATCCTTTTGAATATCATAGTAGCAAACCCAAATGAACATCTCTTTTCTGTAGTATACAAGGAAAGCAACTCAAACACTATCCAAATCACCAAACCAGCAAAAAAATATATCCATCCCAACTCTAGCCGACTTCTCCAAGTATTGGATTGTCCCTCTACAAAACCCAACCATCAACAGCAACCCAAACATCACCAATGACTCTCTACTAATAGACATCGTCTTTATTGCCTTCAAGCAAGTGTCAACCGGCTTCAACCCTCCACACTCACACACAATGGCAATAATAACCATCAACAACATGAAAATCAATACCCAAAACAATCTCAATGACTTCTTTCAATACCAGGAAAGGAATAATCTTGCCCAAAGCATAAGGGAGACCATCACTAGGAAAGTGTTAGACAGCAACTTAAATTACACCTTTCACCTGTCCTGGAACCAAGTCAACATAATCAAAAATGGAAGCAAATTCAGTCTCGACAAAATTCAGAATGCACCAACTCACACCCTACCCAACACACCTGTTCAGGATGAAGAACTTGAAGACAAAAAACAGACCTCCCAAACAAACTTGGATGGAAAAAAATCCATATCCCAAATTCTCAAAAAAACCTCAAACAGTTTACCCCCATCAAATGATCAGCTTAACACGAACACTCCAAATATGGTCAAAGCCAGCAGCAATGCAAATGTACTTCCTGTAGTACTTGAAAGTGCATACATATTAAGCATAACAAATGCTGCACCACTAAACAACAACGATCCTTACAATCTAAGTGACATGATGCAAATAGATGATCACCACCATGCAATCACTACCAATGACAATCATGACAAATCAGGAAGCACAATCAGACCTACCAGCCCATGTTCGGACAATGATGTCTCTATGGAATCATTGGATCAAACAAACTCCATAGGCAACATTAGTTCCCTGTTGGAATTTGACTGCCAGGTTCAAGAAGAATTAGCAAACGTATATGGCAACATTCCTATTGCTCATCTAGACCCCAACCCAGACCAAATAAGAAGAGAAAATGTATCAAACAAGACAGAACAGCCAAATGAAGAGCAAAATCTAATTGGAGACCTGATAAACTTCCCATGTCCATCTTCTGCAAATAACTCTTCAGAAAGCCTGCTTCTTACAGCACCACCAAGCGCCAAAGAAAATAGAATAACTGAAATCTTTATGGAGAGCGATCCAACCTTCAATCACCCCATAGATGACTCCCCAAACAATCAAACAGTAAATACAAACAACCCTTTCATTAGCAAACACAATATAATCATCAATCTGGCATCGCAGCTATCTTTATGCCGCACCAATACCAAAGCAGTGGCAGATTTATTCACTAAAATAAATACTACCCCAAAGGGTTCAGTTCAACAGGAACCTCATTTCGCAATTTTTATCAAAATCCTTCTAAGGGATAGAACCTTCTTCAGAGCGTTTACCAAGAATGACTGACTTACTTAAAGGAACCACCAGATCGAATATGAAGCACTAGAAATCAAAATACACAAAAACTACAAAAAAATTAATGACGTTGGCTATATCAGCAGAAGAATCAAAAGAAAAATCAGATGGATCCTCAACTCAACCTTGTTAGTTGCGTGCCTTAGGTTCACAGACCTCAAAAAATTTAGATACTTTGAAATAGCACAAATTCTCAAGTTCAAATGCAACTACTTCCTTAAAGACAATGAAGACAGCCTAGACTATATTGAACTGTTAGACTTAATAAAAGAAAATTTATACGAACCACTTCCATCCTTGCCAGCCAAACCAGAGTTAATTTCTCCTAACATAAACATCAGGCTTCCATGCCCACTTTCAATCAAGAGAAAATCGTATCTCTCCCCGGTAGTCGCCGTACTAAGAACACACTATAAATTTGAACAACTGCTCGACTCATACTTCTTTGACTTCTCTTCCCTCCTGGAAGACCCAGAGCATCTTAACGAGGAAACTAAACACCTCTTCCCAATCACTGAGAGAAAAAATCTCAAAGACCTGACAGCAAAAATTAAAGAACTAGCTAAGTTCTACGAAGTTCCTACAAAACTCCCAAAGACCTACTTGTACTTGCCTCCACCAAAGACACCACTCCCAGCATCATATAAACTGCTTCCAGAACATCTTGCAACTTACTTTCCACATGATCCAACTCAATGGATACCAGAAAACTTATAGGTATCCTAAGAAAGGAGTACAGCTTTAGAACTCTGCCCTTGGACTACTACAAATTCAAAAGACCACTTCCCCATTCCCCAAACCCACTGCTGGATGAACTCAATATGACTATTCCAGCAAAAAACAAAGAAGATACCATGCGGCTAATCAAGTGTCTAGAGAAGGACTTTAAATTCAATCTGCCTCTCGGCCCACTGTGGATTGACCCATCCATATTGCAAACC